CCCCGTCCTCCACTTACTTTCAAAAACTCCCTGTCCGGGCCGGCACGCGTGGTGAAGGCGTCAGGCCGTCAGCTGTTTTAAGTCTGTACTTATTATTCATAACGTATGTAGTAAACAACCTGTGTGTCGCCCCTCCTGGCCCGCCGGCCCCGGGGCCCGGCCCCGTCTGGGAGCCTATGCCTCCCCCGCGCGACAACCCCTTTCTCTCTCGCCCGCCCCCTTCTCCCCCTCACAGGCTAATGGCTGCTTAATTGACGCCATTCTCGACCTCCAGAATCAATAAGCGGCGTGGAAAATAGCCACCCCGAGCTGCGCCTGGCTGCGCCGGCTGCCGGTTCCCCCGCGGGAGACAGACGAGTGGAGCGGCGAGGTGCCGCTCAGCCGCTCAGCCGCACAGCGAGCCGACAAGAAATAAATTACGGACCAATAACGGCCTTTTTATTGAGGCGCGGTTATATGTCGCCCGACGCGCGTCACACTCACTCACTCCCCGGGAGTCTTTCTGTTTTCAATTGCGTCATACGACTTGTGGTTGTGGAGGGGAGTGCTTGTGGGCGTGTGAGTCAGAGTCACCCCCGCATCGTCAGCAGCAAACAACTCGAGACTATACTTTTCGTGTTTCTTTTTTCCTCAACTGACCAGATTGTAAATGGGTTGGCGTCTTATGACGCCAAAATATTGGCGTCCTCTATAGAACGCCAAATTTTGGCGTCATTGGCGTCGTAAGACGCCAACCTATTTGCAGTGCCCCCCCCCCTTTTTCTCAAAATTTTGTGAAATACATTGTTGTTCTGAAAATTGCATAATGCTTGATTTTCGCACTTATTATATGAGCTAATTTAATGACGCTACGTCCCGAATATTTCCAATCCCATTGACTCGCGTTTGTATGTTTTTTGTTTTTTTTTATCTGTTCACTGTTTGTGCACATGTATTTTTTCATGTCTTTTCTAACTCTGTTATTTTTTTCTCCCTGCTTGCAGCGGCTCAGAACAACTCGTACGTGACTCTGAAGCTGCAGAATGTGAAAACAACGACCGTGGTGGTGAAGGGCTCCAACCCCTGCTGGGAACAAGACTTTCTTTTGTAAGTATGCCTCTGCTCCAGTTTGGGTCGGCGGCGCCCGGCCTGCCCTGCCGGAGGCCTGCAGACTTATTAAAAGCATCACGCCCCCGAGGCACGCCTCCCGGCCCCGGCAGCGCCAGCCCCGCCGGCACCAACACTCCATTATGCCTCATTATACCGTGCGCCCGATTCCATCCCCTTATCGTCTCTCACTCCAAGCCTGACAACGTCACTCTGATTGTCGGTGCAGTCACTGCAGTCACACTATCACTCTCACCGCAAAACTTCGGGCGATTGTTTTTGTTTTTCACACGCGTGTCGCTCCGTCTCATTCAAATTTACGGCCGTAAAAGGTGACCCTTTTTGACGCCGATCGCCCAATATTTTTCCATGAGTCGTCTACGAGCAGCAGAATATTCAGTCAAAATCTCAGCTCTGAGGGAGGTTCAGGGGATATGATTTTTTCAAGTTTTGAGAGGGTTCCAAGTCAGATATTTCAAATTCACAAAACTCGACCCTAATAACGTCCAATTTGTGCAATCTTTTCGGTTTCTGACGTGAAAATAAATGCTTAATCCAAATCCGTTGTCGGAAATGTGTGAGCATAGCATTCTACCACAGTCAACGCGGCCCAAAACGGGTTTTGTGGGAGGGTTCTACGCGGTTGCAAACCATACGTAAAGAACCTGGGGTACCCGATGGCTCTCTGGTGTGCGTTGCCTTCCCGTTGCCTGCCCGTTGCCTGCCCGTTGCCCAGTGCGCCGCGGCCCGGCTGGCCCGGTTGCCCACTGCGCACGCAGATCAATACCGGGAGCCGCCCGCTGCCGCCGCCTGCCCCACGTGGCGCAGAGTAGGCAACCCGCAACGTGATGCTTCGGACCCGGTCGGCCCGGCCCGCGGCAGCTAAGTCGTGTCTCGGCTTGTGCCGATGCCGCGTGGTTCCGCACGGCTTGGCTTCACCGCTGAATTTGAAAGGATAACCGAACGCCAAGAACGCCGTAGGCGCAGGCCCTGGTTTCCATGCCCCCCCCCCCCCCCCCCCAACCACCACGCACCCCTTTTACGCTCCTTGAGGCTCCTACGAGCCAAGCATATCGAAGGTTTCGTGCATAAAGGGTACGCTGCACTCTAAAAGTGGCACTTCGGAGAAGTACCTCGTCGAGATTAAAGGGGAGGTGTTGCGTCTCAGGAAATACGCCCGTCCTTTGGGATCGTACCCATTCTACGTGACATTTAGGGGGGTACAAATATTATGGGTCCCAAAACGATCAGGAACATCATTTGAGTCCATAGAGACCCCATATCTTTCTGATTCTTTTGGGACCCCATAATATTTGAACCCCCCCCCCCCCCTAAATGTCACGTAGTATGGGAACGATCTCTGTTCCGTCACGAACCTGCATCGCGCTGGTAGCGCCTGATGGGTAGGCAACATATTGTGTGCATTGCATGCGTGCAATGCGGGATTGCCTACCGTATGTCTCACAGGCGCTGACCTCCCGTAAGTTTTGCCTAATAAATCTGAGAAAAACGGATGCGCTGAACCGCGGTTTTAATATGCCTTGAGAATCATTCCACTGCGAGCTTTAACAGTGCGCTCCTTGTATCTTTTGGGATAATGCCTGGCCGGAAGGCAGGAGTGGGCGGGGACGGGGGGCTTCCTGTTGTCCTTTCCTTTTTTTCGAAGAGATTTTGTGCGAGAAAGTGGACACAAGGCGATGCTCCCCGCGGCTCCAACGGTAATGACAATACTTAGTCTCCATCTCTCTCTGTCTCTCTGTCTCTCGCCCCCTCTCTCCGTCCTCTCCCTCTGTTCCTTCGTCCCCCGGGCCTGCCTTGCCTGCTGCCTTTGCCGTGAAAGGTCACGGGCCGATCACCGCGATGCCCAGGCCGAGGCCTGGCCCAGGCCCCGTGCGGCCCGGTGCGGCCTGCCTGTCCACAACGCGTGGCGCACCCCCAGGGGGGGGGGGAGGGGGGGCGGACAGCGAATTGGACAGCGAAGAAACCTTTAAACGCAGCGTACCATTCATCATCGCACCAGGAGGTGGGCCCACCAGCACCAGGCACCTTCAAGGGGGGTTTTCCGTTTTTTTCTTGTCATCGGCCCTCCCTCACCCTCCCCCACCCTCCCTCTTCCCTCTACTCTATGCGCCATCATACGCCTTTTCAGGCAGTATCACGTGCTATAGGGCCGAAGGGGGACACACCGCGTGATGGGGTCGGGTTCGTTGGTCGAAAGTAACTTATCGGCTTGCTTTTTCAGTTATAATCCAACAAATGCAATTTTATGCATGTATAAAAATAAATCATCCATAGCAATACACTTTTTAAATAATTACTTAGCTCGTCTTCTTGCTCGTCATCTTTAAACCTACGTGGAATAGACAAAAGGATCCATGACTTTACAGCTTAAATAAAATTCTACTCAAAAATAATGTCAGAAGACCAATAACGTCAAAATGCCAAAGCGAGCAACTTCCCTTGAAACTTGCCAGGTCAAATAGACACTCTGTGTACAAATTAACCCAAGGACTACGCCCTCCCTCACAGTCAGCCGACGCAAACGCAGAGCTAAGAGAGCTGTCTGTGCAGCTGAGCAGCCCGTTCGCCTTCCCTGTGAAGTAAACCGTGCCATTAATTATTAGCCCCCTTGGCGAGCGAGCAGCGCGGAGACTTCTGTTGTTATGCTGCCAAGGATCC